GGACCTTGAGCCCAGTATGAATCAACAGCATGACATGGAAGAAAAAAATAAAAGGTTTTTGCAATTTTAGGCTGTCTGGGGAGAAGGCTAGCATTCAGGGAGCAGAGGGGCAGTGGTTCCACTGTTCTGTGCCCTGGTCAGGCCACATCTGGAGTGCTGTGTTCATTTCTGAGTCCCACAGTCTAGAAGGGAAAAGTGGGGTGTGTTTAGGCATCCCAACAAAGGTGACTGGGATGAAGAGAGGACTAGAAACAAGTCCTTGCAAAGATGAAATATCCTCTTCTCTGCCTCCTCAGTCCCCTGGCTTCTTTCAAGTTTCACATAAACCTCATGTTCTTTTTTTTTTTAATTTAATTTAATGTTTAAAAATTTTTATTAATTTATTTTGATTTATCAACAATCATTTCCATAAGCTTTTGAGTTTTAAATTTTTTCTCCCCTCTCTCCACCCTGCCCCAAGATGGCAAGCAATCTGATATAGGCTTTACATCTAGATTCCTATTAAACATATTTTCACATTAGTGATGTTGTAAGGAAGACTTAGAAGGAATAGGAGGAACCACCAGAAAGAGGAAACAAAACAAAACAGCAGAAAAAAATGGCAAATAGTCGGCTTCCATCTGTGTTCAGACTCCGTGGTTCTTTCTCTGGATGTGGACAGCATTTTCTATCATGAGACTTTTGGAGATGTCTTAGATCCTTGCATTGCTGAGAAGTCTATCAAAGTCAGTCATTGCACACTGTGGCTGTTATTGTACACAAGTTCTCCTGGTTCTGCTCACTTCACTCAGCATCAGTCCACACAAGTCTTTCCAGGTTTTTCTGAAGTCTGTCTGCTCATCATTTCTTAAGAAATAATAGCATTCCATTCCATTCATATACAACAACTTGTTCAGGTATTCCCTAATTGATGGGCATCCCCTCAATTTCCAATTCTTGGCCACCACAAAAAGAGCTGCTATGAATATTTTTGTACATGTAGGTCCTTTCCCCATTTTTATGCTCTCTTTGGGATACAGCCCTAGAAGTGGTATTGCTGGGTCAAAGGGTATGCACATTTTTATATCCCTTTGGGCATAGTTCCAAATTGGTTGGATCATTTCACAACTCCACCAACAATGCATTAGTGTTCCAATTTTCCCACATCTTCTCCAACATTTATCATTTACGTGTTTTGTCATGTTGGCCAATCTGATAGGTGTGATGTGGTACCTCAGAGTTGTTTTGATTTGCATTTCACTAATCACTAGTGAGTTAGAGCATTTTTTCATATGACTATAGATGGCTTTAATTTCTTTATCTGAGAACTGACTGTTTATATCCTTTGACCATATATCAATTGGGGAATGACTTGTATTCCTATAAGTTTGACTTAGTTCTCTATATATTTTAGAAATGAGGCCCTTATTAGAGACACTGGTTGTAAAAATTCTTTCCCAGTTTTCTGCTTCCCTCCTAATCTTGGTTGCATTGGCTTTGTTTGTGCAAAAACTTTTCAATTTAATGTAATCAAAATTATCCATTTTGCATTTCATAATGTCCTCTATCTCCTGTTTGGTCATAAATTCTTCTATTCTTCATAAATCTGACAAGTAAACTATTCCTTGCTCTCCCAGTTTGCTTACAGTATCAGCCTTTATATCTAAATCATGAACCCATTTTGACTTTATTTTGGTATATGGTATGAGATTTTGATCTATGCCTAGTTTCTGCCATACTCTTTTCCAGTTTTCCCAGCAGTTTTTGCCAAAGAGTGAGTTCTTATCCCAGAAGCTGAGGTCTTTGGGTTTATCAAACAGTAGATTACTATAGTCGTTGACTACTGTGTCTTGTGTACCTAACCTATTCTACTGATTGACTACTCTATTTCTTAGCCATTACCAAGTAGTTTTAATGATTGCTGCTTTATAATACAATTTAAGATCTGGAATGGCTAGGCCACCTTCCCCTGCATTTCTTTTCTTTAGTTCCCTTAATATTCTAGACCTTTTGTTATTCCAAATGAATCTTGTTATTATTTTTTCTAGCTCTATAAAATAATTTTTGGTAGTTTGACTGGTATGGCACTGAATAAGTAAATTAGCTTAGGTAGAATTGTCATTTTTATTATATTAGCTCAGCCTATCCATGAGCAATGATGTTTTTCCAATTATTTAGATAAACCTCATGTTCTACAAGAAGCCTTTCTTGATCCCTCCTCATTCTAGTGCCTTTCCTTGGTTGATCATTTCCTATTTATCCTTAGATAGCTTATTTGTATGTTACCTCTATCTATTAGATTGTGACCTTTCTGAAGACCAGACCTTTCTTTGTACCCCTAGCCCACAGCACAGTGCCTGGCAAATAGGAAGCGCTTAATAAATGCTCGTTGTCTGACTGTTGATGGATTTGTTGAAGGGACTGGGGGTGTTTAATCTGGAGTAGAGAAGACTTTGGGTAGAGAGTGGGACAACGTCTTCATACTTGCATTGGAAAGACTAGCCAATAGGTCACTCTCTTTGTGGCATTGCCTGGCACCAATCTGCATGGAGGGTTGGTAAGCCTTTCTCTAAGCACACGCAGTGGAGGGGCCCAGAACTCTATTTCAGAGGACATACAGGTGTCCTTTGACTAATGCCTGTGGGCTTACTCTCTGGGGATAAAAAGCCTTTTAATGGGGTACTGAGCCAGGATCAGTTATGCATACAACTGTTTGAGAGCTGATCTCTGTTTTCTTCCCTGCCTGGTGGGAAGAAATACTGTGGGCATCCTGAGTCAAAGGAGAGGTATCAATAGCCACAGCCAGCTATAGCTGCCTCATCTCCCTGCTTAAACACAAAAGCCTGGTTCTTTTGTCTCTTTGTGTATATTCTTTCCATATCTTAAGCAAATGAGTATGGCAGACAGAATGGACCCTGTTATCATCATGAACTTGGGAGGGAGACAAGAGCCACCTGAGGTCCCCTCATTGACCAGGGCTGCTAGCAACAGTAGCTGAGTCTGGTGAGGACCCAGAAGCAATCTGTTTGACTCAATCCAGCTGAACAAGGGGCAACCAGTCAAGTGATATTGGGGGCAACACGTCTGATGGGGGCTCAAACATTCAACCTCTCAAGGTTACCCTTAGGATCCCGAGGGGAGAAAGAGTAACCAATCCATGTAGACCTCACCTGCTGGTCTGAGTGTGAGTGGAGACAGGGAGCCCAGAACCTGGCTATACCTGTATTCTAGGAGTTATCATGTGGAAAGGGGATTAGCCTTATTGCTCCTGGCCTCAGAGGGAGATCGATGGGTACAAGTTACAGGGAGCCTAGATTTGCCTCAAAGTAAGGAAGAACTTCCTCAAAATCAAAGCTGCCTCACAGTGGAACCGACTGAGACCTCCATCTTTCATGATGTCGAAGCAACGGCTTGTCATAAGGGTTACAGAGAACGTCTCTGCACTGGCGGGGGTGGGGATCTCTGCAAGCAGTAAAGGGCAGAGCTAGGATTTGAATCCAGCTCTTCTGACTCCCAATAGGAAGGGCTCCCCTGTCTCTAGTGTTTCTATATCACGTTCCTCATAACAACCTTAATCTGGTAGGTGGCTAGGAAAAGCCATTTTCCCCATTGGTGCATGAGGAAATGGAAACTCAGAAAGGCTGAGTGAATGGTCTATGGTCAGACAGCTACAATGTGTGGGGGCTAGGATTCAGAACCAGTTTTATGATTCATGGTGGCTAAGGTGCTGGGCTTGGAGTCAGGAAGGTCTGGGTTCAAATCCCATTTATTAGCTGGGTGAATCACTTCCTTCCCTCAGTTTCCTCAGTGGTAAAATGAGGGATATAGACTCTGACCTGGAAGGCCCCTTCCAGCCCTAAATCTAGGGTCTAGTGCTTTTAAAGGGTCCAATTATGTAAAGGGCATTGTGCTGAGAGTTGGGGGAAAAAGACACATGAATGTATGGGACACTCAAAGAATTTACTACATTTCAGAAGAGGAGAGGAGAGACCAAAGGCTCACAGAGGGGACCCCAGAGGCCATCTGGTCCAACTTCCTCATGTTACAGAGGAGGAAACTGAGGCAGGGGGAATGACTTGGGCCTATAGGAGCACAGGTGTGGAGAGCTGGAAGGACCTTGAAGGCCAAACTTTTCATTTTATCCCTGAGGAAACAGGCCCAAGGTCATCTAGGTCATCTAGGTCATCCAGGTAGTGACGATCAGAGGTCAAATTCAAAGCCAATACCTCTGACTCCAGAGCTAGTGAATGTCTTTCCATTCTCCTCCCATCTCGCCTCCAGATCTCTCTGAGCTTCCTTAGGCTGGTCTTCAAAGGGACTCAGTGCTTCCCTGGTTTGTATGCAACATCTTTCTAGCAACGGGGTTTGCTCACAGTCTGTGCTCTGGCCCCCTCTCATCACTAATATACAGATGTTCCCCTGCAGTTACTACTGTCGGAAATCCCTTCACCATTGCTAATCAGGAATTGTCATGCCTTCTAAGTGCTTGTCCCCTTTTTTTGTGTTATGACAGTCTGGGGAAGCCCATGGAGCCCTTCTCAGAATAATATGGTCTTGCTGTTTTTCATTTTGTGAACATTTTATTTTTTTTAACATGTCTTTAACATTCATTTTTTAAAACTCTGAGTTTCAAATTCTCTCCCACCCTCGCACCCCTCACCTCCCAATTGAGAAGATGAACAATGTAATATCAATTAGAATGACATTTTGAAATATATATTAAAAAACATAGAGGAATGCTAGGAAAACCAGAAGTTAGTGACAATAAAGATGGTTTTTTCCCCATTTGAAAGCTATCCCAGGTGGAGAACCCCTGTCCTAGAAAGTCACCATAGGAACATCAAGCTGAAGGGACTTATCCAGAGTCACTCAGCCATTTTCCCCAACTCCAAACCCAACCCTTTATATCCCCAGACCAGAATAACACGGAAAATGTCAGTTATTATCATCAGCACTTTTATTAGTCATAAGAGAGACCCAAGAGACAAGAATAGAGTCTGAAGGCATCTTGATTGGAAGGCTCATTCAAAGTCCAGAATTTTGAGCTTGATGTCACCAGTAGTTTCCAAGTAGTTGAGTGTTTGGAAGTCCAAGTGATTGGGGTAATTGATTTGATAGCCATCAGACAGCCTCGCAACAAAATTATTCCCTTCAAAGGTTATGGAAATCTGAATGAGGAGAGGGCAGAAGGAGAAGAACACAGAATTTTTGGACTTGGAAACAGGAAGACCTGGGTTCAAATTCTACCTCAAGACATTTACTACAAGACACTGTGTGACCTTGGGCAAATCATTTCTCCATTCTGAGCCTCAGTTTCCTCCTCTGTAAAATGAGGGGGTCAGACAACATGGCCCCTGAGGTTCTTTCCAGTTCTATTATATGTCCTGGGGCACCCCAGAGGACTCTCTAATCCTCCTTGGACCACAGCCCATCACAACTGTTTCCTTTGTTCCCAACCTCTCCCCAGCTCAAGGGGTGCTGGGCTTCTTGCCATTGACCTTTGGAAATCCACTGACCCCTTTCTCCTCTAGTTTTTCATTGTTTCCCCTTCAAAGTTTATTTCTAGGACTCTCCTGTCAAATGTAAGCAGTGGAGGAGATCATCTCCTGGGTCCTTCCCAGGTGGAACATTCCATGCTCGGATGTGGGGGGTCTTACCTCCCCTCTGCTCCCTGGCACAAAGGGCAAGTGAGGATCTCTGTTTTCTTGGCACCAATAGCCATCAGTACAGTAGTTGTAGACGATGACGTTGGTATCACTATAGGCACTGAATCGTAGGTTGAAGTTTAAGCCAAAGTTAAGATCATTCTTGCCCAGCCTCACACTAAAGCTGGGAATTGAGAACACATCTCCATATTGGCATGGAGCCAAAAGCCTTAACACCTACCCCCCAACCCTCCCCTCAGAGAATCCCTGAACTAGAAGACCCCCCAAGGGACTCTCACCCAACCCTAACCTGAAGCACTGTGGATTCTCTTTCGCAGCACTCTCCTACCCACTCCCCACCCCGGTCACACAAGTGACATTTCTACATATTTTACTACCTCCAAGGACAGAGAGCTCACTACCTATCCAAACTGTCCATTCCAGCTACTGGGAAGCTTCTGTTAGGAAGTTTTTCCTGGTGCTGAGTCCTGGCCCTGCCCTCTGGGGCTGAGGCAAAACTAGCCGGATGCTTCTAATCAAAGGTTAAGTGCAAGAAGGTGTGTAAAGGATTCTGCTCTCACCCAAGGTTAAATTGTGTCTCATCCATCCCATGTCCCAATTACTGCTTGGCATCGGGTAGAATATATCCCACTACTCTTATGCACACACCAGGTTGGAGGTTCAAGTCTTTGAAAAATAGTTTCTAAAGAGACCAAGCACAGCAAGTTTAGGGCTGGGCAGGAGCTGAGGGGACCCAGAGCTTCCATTTGGGGAAGGGCCACCCTTGAGGAAGGTTTTAGGAAAGCAGACTCCCCCCAGGCTAGTGAGTGCTGAAGTGGGAGTCAGTCCCAGCTCTGTGACCTTGGGGAAGCCCCTTCATGTCTCTGGGCCTCAGTTTCCCCATCTGTTAAATGAAGAACTAGCTTACATGATGGATCCAGTCCACTCCTCATTTTATAGACCAGGAGACTGAGGCTCCAAGAAAAAGCAAGAAGTGACCTTTCCCAGGTCACACAAATGGGCAACAGAATCCTGTTTTTCCTGAGTCCATGTTCTCTGTCCCACTGGCCATCCCAGTACCATCTTGGGCTGGCATCACATGTATGCTGGCACTTGGACAAGGATGAAGGGGAAAGGAAGGATCATGGTGCTATCCCAAGGGTAGGAGATAGACTACAGCTCAATGGGGAAACTCCCTGGTAGCTAGGTAAGCCTTACCTTGCCTTCCCCATACTTCCCAGTCATTGACCTGCCCTCCTTCTCATTCTCTCAGAGCTGCCCTCATCTAACTTAGCAGGGAAGGAATTTTTCCCCAGGAAAGTTTTCCGGGAAAGTTTGCCCCATTCCCCAGAGCCAAGTGTTGCTCCCAATCTAGGGCATGAGCCAGCTGTGCCCAGGAGAAGGCTAGTTGGCAAGGGAGGAGAAGGTTCAGAAAGAATTCAGAATCAAGGGTGACCTTGGCGGAAACATTAAGGTCAAAGAACTTAGCTTCTCCTCTCCCCCACCCCCACCCTTTCCGTAGAAGAATAAAGGAACCAGGACAGCACAGATGTGGGGGCCCTTCCTCTTCTAAATCAATGGACAAGCAATGGGGATTGGGTAGGAGAGGGAGGGTAATCTTATAAGCTGGTTTCCCAGAGACAAGGCAAGAAGTGTATTTGTGAGGTTAATTCGATCTTATTTTTAAAGGGGACAGGACTAGGATTTGGAAGGACCTGAGGAATCACTTGCCTCTACCCCACCCTGTTGGCCATCTCCAGCCTCCTCCTTATCCAGTGGAGCCTCCTCGGCCTGAACCCTTTCCACACAATCAGACTGGGCTGGAGTTAACTCCATGAGACAGTCATTCATTCCAGAAAGTCTGGTCCTCTGGCAGAAGATTCCTCTCTGCCCACCTCTTCCCTTTCTCTTCCCTCTCAACTCAAGGAGTTGGATTGAATTCCCCACATCCATCTCCCTCCACACCCATGCAGATGCAGCCCCTTACAGCCAAGGGACACCCTAACTCTAACCCATGCCAAGTCCCACTTCCCCTAGCTCCCCTCTCCCCAGGGTCTGTCTGGACTTAGCAGCTTGTCAAAAACAAGTTGCAAGGGGGTAGGGATGGAAAGGGCAGCCCTTCCAAGGGCTGGGGAGATCAGGATGGGGGGCGGTTAGAGGAGAAGAGAAAGGAGCCCCAGCCCAGACAGAGAGCGAGGGTAGAACATTCCCACCCGCTAGAACACACATCCTTCTGGAGTCTCCGGGATCCTTTCCACAGGTTCCCCCACCCTTGGACTCTCAGCCTACACCCCGGACAAGGACCCCTGCAGTCTATACCCTGGCACACTCACGTGGAACAAAATGGAGGGTGAGGAATGCTACTGCGGTTCTCCTGGCTGCGCTGGGTCCCTGAAGGTTAATGTCCAACTCCAACGCAGTGACGGTGACTCAGGGAGGGGTCAGACCCTTCAAATAGACTCAGTCTCGGGGTTTCCTCCGAGTCCCCACAGCCAACCGCACTACTGCCGCCTTTCTGGCGCGTTTCCCCAATCCAGAGTCACTAGAGGGGAGGGAGCGCATCTCAGGGGCTAGGCCGGTGGAATTTTTGAAGTCTTTCTTGGAGGGACAGCCAATGAAGGAGGAGCCAACCCTTTGGTCACACCCCTCCACGTCAAGCTCCGTCCTGATCTGGCCTTCCCCCCCGCATCCAAACCCCCAAAACTCTACTTTGGGGGATGGGGTTGGGGAGAGTGGTAGATTGTTTAGGGGATCCAATACTTTTGGAATGAACCAGAATCTGATATTCTCAGGAAGGGACGAGGGCGAGGTGAAGGGAACGCTGTGTACTCTTGTCTGGGTGAGAGTCATCCCTCTGCCCTCCAAAAAGTCCATCTGAAGGGAGAAATTCTACTCAGAAGATGTCATAGCGTGGAGGGACCTAAAAAACCATCTGGTTTCTCAACCAATAGGGAAACTGAGACTTTGGGGTCACTTGGTAAATGAAGAGCTAAACCAGGCCTTGTACCCAGGTCCTCTGACTCCCAGGCCAGCTCTCTTTCCACCGTATGACGCCGTTAAACAACCATGTTTTACAAATAGGGAAACTGAGGTGAAGAGATGAGAGTAAAATACCCAAGGTCACCTGTTACTAATTTTGAGGTGGTTCTTTGGAGAACGAGGTGGATGAGAGGAGGGAATTGAATCAACTTGGTCTCCATTTGGGATGAGGTATCAATGAGTCTCTCCACTGTCTTTGGACATCTCCACTGGGGTTTGGGGATGTCTCCAGCCTTACTGAGCCCTGTGGAGGTCCCCCAAGCTTCTAATTATAAAGAGAGAAAGTGTGGTAAGGTGCCCAAGGCTTAGCCTGTGGTTTTCTGACCTACTGTCAGAAAGCACTCTGCCCTGCCTGTATCATGAGGCTGGAGGGAGGCAGGCTGAGGTTTCTCGGAAAGCCCTACCATGTCAGCTCAAGGAAGGGAGTGGCAGGAACCCCAGTGGGGCCCCTGGATGCTGCTAGAGAATGGGACTCAGGCTAGGGGCCCCAGGTAGCCTGTGACACAGCCTCCCTTTAGACACCCAGAGACCCTTCCCCTGACACTGAGACTCAACGAAACAGAGGTACAACGTCAGAGTTTAGAGAGCCCTGTGATTCAGTTGAGCCAAAGTGGGATGGTTGAGGGAGGGGATGAGGGGGCATGAGCTCCCTGAAGGAAAAGAAGGAATCTTACCCCCCTCATCTTCTCTACTCTTTCACCATTGTCTCCTGTTCCTCTCAGGCCAGTTCCTAGAGCTGCAAGTCACTTCAATTCTTTGATCCTCAGTTTCCTCATCTGTAAATTGGGATCCTAATAGAGTTAAAAGTAGGACATCATAGTCCATAGAGATTCACTTTCTTAAAGTAAAGAAGGCCTGGGTTCACAGCCCACCTTCCAAGTCACCTAACTTCTCCAGGCTTGAGGTCACTCTCTAAGATAGAGGTTCTTAATCTGGGGTTTGAAGATCTCCCCAGGATCCAAGGATAAATTACAAGGAGTTTGGAGAGGAAAAAATAAATTATACCTGTATTTTCACTGAACTCTTAACTGGAAGGTACTATTTCCTTCTATTATTAAAAAATTTTTTTTTTCTCAGAATGGCTCCACCAGACTGCCCAGGGGGTCAATGACACAAACCAGTCAAAGGACATCTGCTCTAAAACTCTAAGTTTCAGATAAGGTGCTGACTGGCATTTAGGGAGGAGTTTGCTCACCTGGGAGTTCCCTATATATAGTGTCATCAGAGATCCAGTCCCTGTCCTAATCCCTTAACATAATCATCACATCTCTACTTGGAAGGGACCTCAAACATTTATTGAAATAAAATCTTCCTCTGAAATATTTCCCCTAAATGATCGAACTCACTTCCTATGGCATCAACTGGTTCCACTTCTGGACAGCTCATTGTTGAATTGAATGGGCAGGTCCCTCTGTACCTTTCCCCAGTTCCTACTGGTTCTACCTCTGGAGCTGAGTAGGACCAGGTTCAATCCTCTCCTGTAGGACAGCCCCTCTGTACTTGCAGGCAAGGCTCAGGTGCCCAAGTTTAACACCTCTAACTATTCCTTCTCCCACCATCTGTCTCAAGAATAAGAAAAGCACTCCATAAACCTTGGAGAAGTTGGAGTAAAAGAAACCATGATGCCCAGGCAGAGGGAGCCCCCAGCAGTGAGCAGGGCAGAACCAACACAGCTTCCCTCTTCCCAAGCTCCCCACCAACCCCAAGTGCCTCACATCCTGAACCTGATTCCAACTCCTTCCTCTCCCACAGTCCTGGCAACACCCCACTCCCCCACCCCCTGCACTGTCTGCTGTATGACCCATGGGCAAGTCATTTTCCCACTCTAAATCCCCATTTCTTCCTCTATTAAAAGGAGATAACAATCCTTGCACCAACTCCCTCCCTAGGTGTCATGGATGAAGGATGAAATGACTGAGGAGACAAAGGCTCTGTCTTCAAAGCTTGTAGATGTATTAAGCAATGCCTGGCAATTGCCAACAAAACCAGGACCTGGCCCCTTCCTCACCTTAGAGCTGCACCCCAAATACACGGAGAGATAGATTTTTATACATGGAAAATTATTAATCAAATGAAGTCAATTAAAAGGAAACAATACAACATTAGGTAATCTGATTTCTAATTGGAGGAAAGATTAGTAACTTTCTTGTTGGGAGGGGAAGAGTCAATAGGAGCAATTCTCTGAATTCAGAAAAAAAAGTGTCCTGTTCCTCCCAATTTTCTTTATGCAATCAAAGGAATGTGAAAACAATAACCTATTGATCTGTACAGGGCCACTTTTCCGAAAAGACATATAGGTTTCTTGAGATGTGGAATTGTGGGAAAGCTCCTTGCATCAATCTTTGGATCTGGGCAGCATAACTTTGGTCCTTGGTTAAGGGTCTCTAAGCAGCAGGGAGAGGTGGTCCCACTTCCCAGTCATGCAGTGCCAGGTGCAAATAACACAATAAGGCTCTCTCTCAGTTCCCACAGTAGAAACAAAGTTTTCTCCCAAGAAAGAATTTGGACTAGACCCATGATTGAACATAAAGGGAACTGGGCTAGCTCCAGAATTGAATCTCAAGATGGAGTCAGCGTCATTCACTCAATTCCAGAATAAATTACTTCCTGTCCTAATTCTCTCAATCCTTTCATTCTCCCTTTTCATTCATGGTGGAGTGGAAAACTTACTCTTCCCCTGGACGCCATATCTATAAGTTAAATGCACAAGTGTTTTCATAAATGCATAATCAGAATTACCTAAATTAGGGTAAAAATCAAACTACTTAGAGGTCACACTAATTTTGAGAGGGCAGGTTTACCTGTCACCAAGATAACCAAGAAAACTTCAGCATAAATATAAAGTCCATGAAATAAAAGACCAATCAAAACAATAATGGTCATCAATATTAACTAAGGTCAAGTCTCTTTGTACCCTAGTCATCTACTCCCAATGTCCATTCAATCAGCAAATCTTGAATCCCAGATGCCTCCTGTAGCCCTCTGGTGCCAGAGAATATCTTCTCTTGGACACTCTGGAAGAGGTCTCATTCTCAGGGCAGCTCTGAAGGGGGCTCTTTCTCTGGTTTCAGATCACTTGTAGATGCTTCCTAGATAATTCTGCTAAAATCTGCCAGTAATAAAACTTTGTACAATTTAGTACAGCATCTTAAATTTGCTTCTCCAATCCTGAAACTTCAAGAATTTCAGCTTTAGATATTACTTGTTGTTTCTTTCTTTACCTAAATCCGGTACCTGATATTAGAATCTTCAAAAAATTCGTGAGGGTCTGACTTGTAAAATGAACTCTTCTGCCTTTTCAAATTATGAAACAGGTGCTCTAAAAATGGGAAAATAGAGTGTTGTTTGGAGGGAAGTACTCTCTCTAGAAATAGGAATTGGTCATATAGGCTATTTGTGCCTTACCTGTGGTGGAGCCTTCCAAGCTTCTGTGAATCTGTTCAGCCACAGGTGGACACACTGTACCTTGACCTCAACATAGTGATGTCATTTTGGTCCTCTTCAGGAAGGAAAGACCACAGCCAGCTAGAGGAGGAGGTACCTTTAGGAGTCCAGAGCCTAGAATCTGAGACTTCTGTTCCCTTTCCTGGGTCATGATCCCCATTCTACAGAAAAGGAAGCTGATGTTCAGTATGGGCAGGTGACACCCCTGGTCACACAGCTGATAGGGCAGTGCCAGGATCCTAACCCAAGTCTCTGCTCCCTTCTCCTTCCTCAGAGGGTATGACAGGGCAGCCAGAGTGGGTCTCAGAGGTCACCCATCTTCCTCTGGTTGATGCCCCTCCCCAGTTGGGTCTCTCTAACTGGTCCTAATTACCCTTTCCCTCCATCAAATGGCCATATGCTCTTTCTGAAGGAGGTATTGGGTGACCTGTCCTGGGTCTGCCCAACCTACCTAGGGAAGCCACTGGAGCCCCTCCAAGGTCTAATCTTCTGTCAGTACTCAGGTAAATTCAGACTTGAACTCCTGTGTGCCTGCCCACAGCCCCATTTTCACTTTGGGTTCTAGGTAGTTCCATCTGCCTCTCTTAAATTTTCCCTCTTCAGTGTTTTCCAGTATTTGGGGGCAATGGGGTAACTGCTGTAGGTCAGACACTGTCCAGCAGAGTATTGGCAGGACAGCTCTGAGGAAAGCCTCCATCTTCAAGGGTATTCCACCCCATGGACAGAATTAAAATTCCTGTGTAAAATTAAAAAAAGGTCCAAGTTCCTGGTGGGGGGCAACGGGAAGAAGGGAGTTGGGTACATTTAGAAGAGTCATGGTGACCCCTTCTGGATCATCCTAACGTCTTAATAATCTAGTAACAAATCAGTCCTGGGGCAGGGGGACAAGCACATTAATAATCCCAGAGAAAGAGATCGAGGGTCCCACCATGTCCATCACAGCCCTTGGGGAGCAGGGTTCTCATTCCACTTAAAATCTGGGCAGGAGCCACATGGACCCTCCAATTGGCACTCAGGGCACCCCTCCCATTAGTCCACTAATACCTGGAACTTGAATGGATTCCAGCCTTCTGATTGGTCCTTTAGGAGACAGGACTCAATGATCCATACTGCTTGATGCTCCAGAACTTTGAATCAGGCTGATTGGCTCAGTTGGGGCTGACCCAAGGGGAAATGGCACCTAGTAGAGGGAAGCAGGAAGTTATGGGGAAAGAGGACACCTAGCTCACCTAAAGTGAGAAACTAGGTCCATTGGGGAGCTGGGAGGCAGGTCCTGACCGACTCATCTCAGAAGATGGAGAATCAATGTGTATGTGGGTATCTGTGTGTGTGTGTGTGTCTCTGTGACAGTGCTGTAGTGTGGTTTTTAGGAGGGAAACATATAAACTGGACAAGGATATGGGGTTTTGGGAAGGGGTCCTTTCATGACCACAGTGTAGAAGAGACAGGGGAGAAGAGATCAGAATAAGAGGACTGTCCATCCTCTTGGCTGCCCTGCCTCTGGTCAGGTTGCCTCAGTCTCCAGCTCTGCTATCAAGTCTGCTGTGCTGTTCACTTAGTAGTGGGGCACCTCCACTCCCTTTGTCTCTCTCCCACTGCTGGGCTCTGCTCAGAGAGAGTGAGTCAATGTGCACTCAGTGAACCTCATCACCTAAGGCCATCATCTGACCCCAGAAAGCAGGCTCAGAGAGGTACTAAGACCTGCCCTCAGCCACACAGCCAATTCCCAGAACAGACTGTCAGGCGAATCAAGGGTGACCTTGGCAGATACGCTAAAGTAAAGGAACTCAGCTTCTACTGCCCTTCCCTTTGGAGAAGGTTAAGGAAACCAGTGCAGCACAGATGTGAGGTCCCTTCCTCTTCTAAATTAATGGAGAATTTGGAGGCAGGGTGAGGTTTGCTGGGTCCTGACAGTCTGGGGAAGCCCTTGGACCTATTCTCAGAATCATATGGTGTTGTTGTCATTGCTTTTTTCCATCTTGTGAAGATTTTAGTTTTTTAAATTTCTTTTTAATATTCATTTTTAAAAATGTTGAGTTCCAAATTCTCCTTCCTTCACACCCTTCTCTTACACACCGAGAAAGCAAATAATACAGCTTCAATTGGAATGATGTTTTGAAATATATAAGAAAGCACAGAGAAATAATACCAAAACCAGAGGTTAGTGACAATAAAGATGTCTTTTTTTCCTATCCAAAATCTGTCCCATTGGAGAACTCCTGTCCCAGAAAGTCACCAAAAGAGTATAAAGGTGAAGGGACTTGTCCAGGTTCACTCAGCCATCCTTCTGAACTCCAAACCCAGCCCTCTATCCCCCAGACAAGAATAACACAGAAAATGTCAGCGGTTATCATCACCAACATATTTATTAGTAACAAGAGAAACCCAAGAGTCGAGAATGGAATCTGAAGGCAGCTTGATTGGAGGGCTCATTCAAAGGACAGCATTCTGAGCTTGAAGTCCTTAGTAATTTCCAAGAAGTTGATAAATTGTAAGTTAAGACGATTAGGGAAAGTGAATTCAGAGCCACCAGGCAGCTGCACTTTAAACTGCTTCTCTTCAAAGATTATGTTAATCTGAATGAGGAGAGGGAAGAATGAGTTGGACATAGAACCCTGGCCTTGGAGACAGGAAGACCTGGGTTCATATTGCACATCAAGACATTCACTACAAGACACTGTGTGACCTTGGGCAAATCATTTCTTCATGCTGAGCCTCAGTTTCCTATTCTGTAAAATGAGGGGGTCAGAGTAGTTGGCCCCAAGGTTCTCTCCAGCTCTACATCTAGGGTCCTATTATAAGTCCTGGGACACTGCAGATTCTAATCTTCTCTTATTGAGACCCCAGCCCTTTATGACTCCCTCCCTTCCCCCACCCCACTCCAGCTCAAGGGATGCTGGGTTTTTTTGCCATTGACCTTTGGAAACCTCCTCTAGCTTTTCATCTTTTCCCCATCAGAGTTTGCTTCCAGGACTCTTCTGTCAAGTGGAAGGACTGTATGAGATCATTTTTTGGGTCTTTCCCAGGTGGAACATTCCATGCTCTGATTCTGTGGTCTTACCTCTGCTCTGCTCCCTGGCACAAAGGGGAATTTTTTCACTTTTTTTTCTTTGCCCCATATGTAATCATTCCGGGAGTTGTAGGCGATGATTTTGGTATCATTAGCATGTATGAAGCGTGCGCTGAAGTGCAGGCCAATATTACCATAGTCCTTGCCCAGCTCAATTCTAAAGCTGGGGATAGAGAACACATCTCCATCATAAGCATGGGTCCCAGAGCCTTGGAAATCTACCACTCAGAAAATCCTGATCAAGAAGACCTCCAAAGAACTATCACCCAATCCTGACCTGAAGCACCACGGCTTCTCCTCTGCAGCACCCCTCCAACTCCCACCCTGCTTAACAAGGGACCATGGTACATATTGTACTACCCCAAGAGACAGGGAACTCACTACCTAGCCAGACTGTCCATTCTAGCTACTGGGAAGCTTCTGTTGGGAAGATTTTCCTGATGCTGAGTCCTAGTTTGGTGCTTCAAGCAGGGTGTAAAGGATGCAGCTCTCAACCATTACTAAATTTTTCCTCATCCTTCCCATCTCCCACTTACTGTTTGGCATCAAGTGGAATATCTCCCACTATTTTTATTCGGACTCCAGGTTGGAGGTTCAAGTTAGTGGCAAGCATTTCCTGCAAAGACCAAGCACAGGAAAGTTAGGGCTGCCTGGGGGCTGAGGGGACCCAGAGCTTTCAGCTGGTTCAGGGCCACCCTTGAGGAAGGTTCTAGGAAAGCAGATTCTCCCCAGACTAGTTAGTGCTGAAGTGGGAGTTAGTCGCAGCTCTGTGACCTTGGGAAAGCCCTTTCATATCTCTGGGCCTCAGTTTCCCCATCTGTTAAATCAGGAAGTAGCCTAGATGATTGATGCAGTCCACTCCTCATTTTACAGATCAAGAAACTGAGGCTCAAAGAAGCAAGAGGTGACCTGTCCCAGGTCCCACAAGTGAGCAACAGAATCAGAAGTGGAACCCAAGTTTTTCCTGGGTCCCAGGCCCATGCTCTCTCCAACCCAATGGCTGCCCCAGTGCCATCTTAGGTTTGAATTCCAAGCGTCCTGGCACTTGGGCAAGGATGAAGGTGGAAAGGAGAACAATTGTGCTAACCCAAGGGTAGGAGGCAGACTACAGCTCAGCGGGGAAACTCCCTGGTGGCTAGGTAAGTCTTACCTTGCCTCCCCCACACTCCCCAGCTGTTGTTCTGTCCTCCGGCAAATGCTCCCAGGGCTGCCCTCAGCTCATTAAGCAGGGAAGGAATTCCTCCCCAGGAAAGTTTTCAGGAAGAGCTTCTCCCTTCTCCAGAGCTAAGTCTTGGTCCCAGTCTAGGGCAGGAGCCAGCCACGCCCGGGAGAAGGGGAGCTGGCAAGGGAGAGGGAGGTTCAGAAAGGATGGGGAATCAAGGGTGACCTTGGCAGAAATAAGGCAAAGGAACTTAGCTTCTTCTGTGCCCCACCCCTTTGGGAGATGGGTAAGGGAGCCAGGGCAGCACAGATGTGTGCTCCCTTCCCATTCTAAATCAATGGAAAATTAATTAGGGGGAAGGGGGAGTGGAATCTTATGAACTAATTTTCTAGAGAAGAGGGAAATAGTGTATGTGTGAGATCATTTGGGCATTATTTTAAAGGGGTGGGACTAGAATTAGGAAAGACCTGAGGAATCACATGCCCCTATGGCCCACCTGGTCTGCCATCTCCTTCCTTCTCCCTTTCCAATGGAGCCTTCTCAACCTGGACTCTTTCCTTACCATCAGGCTGGGTTGGAGTTTAAACTCTCTAAGACAGTCATTCATTCCAGAAAGCCTGATCCTCTGGTGGAAGATTCAGCTGTACTCACCCCACTCCCACATCGCCTCTTCTTTACTTTCCTCTCAAGGAAGGGCATTCTTCCACATCCTGCCCTCACCCCCACAGAGACGTTGCCCCTCAGAGCCAGGGGACCCCCGACCTTAATCCATGCCTCTTGCTCACCTCTCCCCAGGATCTCTCTGGACTTAGCTTGTCAAAGACAAGTCAAAAGGAGAGGGGCATGGAAGGGGCAGCCTGTCCAAGGGCTGAGGCGGTCAGGTTGGGGAGGGTTGTGGTAGAGCATCCCCATCCTCTCTTGAACACACTCTTCTTGAGTCTCCCTGATTTTTTTCCAAGCCTCAATTCGAGAGGGTCCCCCACTTCTGGACCCTCAGCCTCCATCCTGGACAAGATTCCCCTCAGCCCATACCTCGGCCATGATGGAGGATGAGAAATTCTTCTGTGATTCTCTTGGCTGCACTGGGTCCCTAAAGGACAATGTGCCACTCCAAGCTGGAGATGGTAACTCGGGGAGGCGTCCAGCCCTTCAAATAGAGGATTGGTCTCCTGTCTTCTGCTGAATCCCCACCCCAACCCCTCCCCAGCCCTCCTCTCTTGCACTTTTCACCCATACAGAGCAGAAAAGGAGAGGGGGGCATGTCTCAGGGGCTGGACCAGCTGAATTTTTGAAGACTTTCCTGGAGAGGCAGCCAATCCAGGAAGAGATAACCCTTAGGTCACACCCTCTGCATGTCAAGCTCTATCCTTATCTAGCCTTTTACCCCATATCCAAACCCTAAAAACTCTCCTTTGGGGAGTGGTGTTGGGGCAAGTGATAGATTAATTGGGGGGATCCAATGAATACTACTTTTAGAATGAACATGAATATGATATTCTCAAGAGGTCAGGTGGAGGGAAGGTCATGCTTTGGTATGGATGAGAGCCAGCTCCCTGGTCTCCAAACGGTCCATCTGAAGGGGGAAATCCTAATCAGAGGATGTTGTAATGTGGACGGACCTAAGAAACCATCTGGTTTCTTAACCAGTAGGGAAACTGAACCCCTTGGGTAAGTCGGGCAGTGAGGAGCCGAGCCAGGCATTGTATTCAGGTCGTCTGACTCTCTAGTCCAGTACTCTTTCCACCATATCACATCACTAAGCATCCATGTTTTATAAACAGGCAAAATGAAATGCAGGTTAACTTACCTAGGTTATGAGAGAGTAACTTCCCCAAGATGGTGGTTTACTGTGTTTGAGGTGGTTCATTGAAGAATGAGGTGGGCAGAAAGAAAGAATGGAATCAGCTTGGTATCCATTTGGGATGAGGAATCAATGAATCTCTCCAATGTCTTTGGACATCTCTCCAGGGGTGCTTGGGTGCCTCCAGTCTTATTGATCCCCTTTTGGAGGTCCCCCAAGCCTCAAATTATAAAGAGAGAAAGTCTGGGAAGGTGCCTAAAGCTGAGGTTGTGACTTTCTGACCTGCTGTCAGAAAGTACTCTCTGCTCTGTCTGTATCATGAGACTGGAGGAAGGCAGACTGAGGTTCCTCAGAAGGTCCTACCAAGCCAGCTCAAAGAAGGGAGTGGCAGGAACCCCAATGGGCCCCCTGGTGCTGCCAGAGAATGGGACCCAGGCCATTTCTGGCCACTGCCAGAAAAGCATTCTCAGAGAAACCTTTGACACAGCTTCCGCCGCAGACCCATCCCCTGACTATGAGACACACTGAAACAGAGGTAGTCAGGGTTTAGAGGGCCCTGTGATTCTATTGAACCAAAGCGGGATGGTTGAGGGAGGGGATGAGGGATCAAGAGCCCCTTGAGGGAAAAGAAGAAATCTTATTATCTTATTATATTCCCTATTCTTACACTCATGTCTTTTGTTCCTCTGATGAGGGGGACCTGAAGACCAGGTCCTACAGAGAATTGTCACTTCAATTCTCTGATCCTCAATTTCCTCATCTGTAAACTGGGATCCCAATAGAATTAAAAGTAGGGTATCACAGTAGATAGAGATCCACCCCCTTAAAGTCAAGAAGACCTAGGTTGAAATCCCACCTCCCAAGTCAGCTAACATCTCAGGGCTTGAGGTCACTCCCTAAGATAGGGGTTCTTAATCTGGGGTTCACAGATCTCCCTGGTGTCCATGGATAGATTACGAGGGATTTGTGAATTTGGAAAGGAAAAAAGAAATTGCATCCTTATTTTCACTGAACTTTAAATAAAATGTACTATTTCCTTCTACTATTAAAAAAAATCACATTTTTTTCTCAGAAGGGCTCTATCAAAGTGCCCAGAGGTCAATGACACAAACTAGTCAAAGGACTTAGGCTTTAAGACTGTAAGTTTTAGAGCAGGTGCTGACTTGTATGTGGAGGGAGGAGGTCAGTCACCTGGGAATTCCCTATAGATTCAGTGCCATCAGAAATTGGGTCCCTGTCCTAACCTCTAACAGAGTAATCAGATCTTCACTTGGAAGGACCCTCAAACATCTATTGAAATAAAATTTTCTTCTCAAATATTCTCTCAAAGCTGTCATTTAGGTTCCCTTTGAAGACCTTCAACAATGGGAAACTCACTCCCTATGGCATCAGCTGGTTCCATGTGTGGACAGCTCCCATGGTTGGATTGAATGGACAGCTCCCTCTGCACCATCCCCAATTCCTCCTGGTTCTACCTCTGGGGCCGAGCAGGACCTCCTGTCGGACAGTCCCTCTATCCTTGCAGGCAAGGTTCAGGTGCCCAAGCCCAACACTACTAACTATTCTTTCTCCCACCATCTATCTCAAGGGTAAGAGAAGCACTCCATAAACCTTAGAGAGGTTGGAGTAACAAAAATCATGATCCCCAGACGGAGGGAGCTCCCAGCAGTGAGCAGGGCAGAACAGACACAGCTCCCCTCCTCCAAGCCCCCACCAACCCCAAGTGCCTCACATCCTGAGCCCGACTCCAGCTCCTTCATCTCCCACAGTCCTGGCACTACCAGCTGTGTGACCCATGACCAAGTCATATCTCCACTCTAAATCTCAGTTTCCTTCTCTATAAAAAGGAGATAATAATCCGTGCACCAACCCCCTCCCTAAATGTTATGGATGAAAGATGAAATGACTGAGGAGACAAAGGTTCGATCTTCCAAGCTTATCAATGTCTTAAGCAATGCCTGGCAATTGCCAACAAACCAGGACCAGGCCCCTTCCTCACCTTAGGACTGCACCCCAAATAGAGGGGGAGATAGATTTTTATATATGAAAAACAATGAATGAAATGAGGCCAGTTAACTAAAATGAAATGATACAACATTAGATAATCTGATTTCGAATTGGAGGAAAGATTAGAAACTTTCCAAGTTGGGAGAGAAGCAGTCAGCAAGTGCAATTTCCTAAATTCCGAAAACAGAGGAGTCCCACTCCCCCCAAATGTGTTCATACAATCAATGGAAGGTGGAAACACTAACTGACTGATCAGCATAGCGCCACTTTTCAGATAAGACACACGGTTGCTCAAGATGTAGAATTGTAGGAGAACTCCTTGCATCAGTCTTTGGGACTGACCAGGTTGCTATTCAGTAGAACTGAGGTCCTTAGATAAAGGTCCATAAGGAGCAGGGAGAGGTGGTCACATTTCCTAGCCACACAGGGTTGGGTTCAAATAATACAATAAGGCTTTCTCCCAATTCCCACAATTGAAAAAAAGTTTTCTCCCAAGAAAGAATTTGAACTAGACCCATAATTGAATAGAAAGGGAACTGGGCTAGCTCCAGAATTGAATCCCAAGATGGAGTCAATGTAGTTCACTCAATTCCCAGAATTAATCACTTGCTGTCCTAATCCCCTCAATTCCCTCAATTTCTCCTTTTGATTGATGGTGCAGTGGAAAACTTACTCCTCCTCTGGATCAATTATTTCTAAATTAAATCCATAAGGATTGTGGTAAACTAATAATCAGAATTTCCCAAATCAGATTCCCGATAGAACTGCTTAGAGGGCATACAGTGGACTAATTTTGAGGAGGGAGATTTATAGATCAGCAGGGTAAGCAAGAAAACCTCAACACAGATATAAACTCCATGAAACAAAATGCCAAAGCAAAACAATAGTGATCGTTAATATTAACTAAGGTCAAGTCTCCTTGTACCCTAGTAATTCACTCCCAATGTCCATTCAATCAGCAAATTTTGAATCCCAGATGCCTCCTGTAGCCCTCTGGTGCCAGCAAATATGTTCTCCTGGACATTCTGGAAGAGGTCTCATTCTCAGGGCAGCTCTGACGGAGCTCTGTTTCTCTGGTTCCAAATCATTTATAGAAGGTTCCTAGATAATTCTGCTAAAATCTGCTAGTAACAAAACTTCATACAGTTTAGTAGTGTCTTAAATTTGGTTCTGCAATCCTACAACTTCAGAGAATTTCAGTTTTTATATACTACTTGCTGTTTCTTTCTTTACTTAAATCTTGTGCCTGATATAAGATTCTTTAAAAATTTCATGACGGTCTGACTTGTAAAATGAACTCTTCTATCTTTTTAAATTATCAAACAGGTGCTTTAAAAATGGGGAAATAGTATTGTTTGGAGGGAAGTACTTTACAAACTTTAACTCTCTCTAGAAATAGGAGTTGGTCATTTGTGCCTGACCTGTGTTAGAGCCTTCCCAGCTTGCATTGGTCGGTTCAGCCAGAGGTGGACACACTGTACCTTGACCTCAACATAGTGATGTCATTTTGGTCCTCTTCAGAAAGAAGGACCACAACCAACCAGGGGGCTGGGGGAGGTGCCTTTGGGACTCTAGAGCCTTGAATCTGAGACTTCTGTTCCCCTTCCTGTGTCATGATCCCCATTCTACAGAAAAGGAAGCTGAGGTTTGGTGTGGGCAGGTGACACCCTTGGGTCACACAGCTGGCAGGGCAGTGCCAGGATCCTAACCCAGGTCTCTCCTACTTCCTCCTTCCTCATAGAGTGAGTCAGGGCAGCCACAGGGAGTCTGGGAGGTCACCCACCCACTGGTTGATGCCCCTCCCCAGTTGGGGCACTGACTGGCCCTAGTCATCCTTTCCTTTTAACAAATGACCG